TGCCTTCACCATCCATCCTCTAGCATCATGGTTGGTTATTACAATGATGAGAGTTCTTAAGTCTTTCAAAGTTGTTTGTTTTTCACAGCATTGCTGTAAGTGTATAAATTGACCCTTGATACTATTCACTTCATTCAGAATGATTTCATGTCTTCATAGGTTTCTCTGTGAAACCATTCCTTTCATCATTCCTTATGGTGCAATAGTATTTCATTACATTCTCATACCATTTCTCAATTTGTGGGCACCTCCTTAAGTCCTAGCTTTTTGCTACTGGGTTCTTTTCCTCTTTCTTTGATCTCTTTAGACTGAGTATGCCCTAATAGTGGCATTGCTGAGCCAAAGGTTACATACAATATACGACTTTTTGGACATAGTTCCAAATTACTTTCCAGAATGGCTAGAACAATTCTCCTTTGGTTCCTTTTAAAAGCTAAATCCAAGGACCACCTTGAATGTATAAGCCCTATGATTAATGTATAACTCTTTGTTGCTGTTTCAAGTTAGTGGATCAATTGTATCCAAGGGGAGTTTGTACATTGGCCAGAGAACTCATGTTCTGTTCAGGAGATAGTCGATGAATATATTTTGTTTCGGAGCTGGGCAACAGTAGGGAAGTGAGTGTGGAGATCATATTCTATTCCTTTCCATCTCTAGTGCCTAACCTAAAGAAAAGGTATAGTGTTGGGGAAATGTCTGGTGAATAGCATAATAGCATTATTAAATACTTAGGGGATAAGCAGATGTTATTAGGAGGAAGAAAAAGAGAGAAAAGGGAGTTTGAGGTGCTCCAAAAATCAGCTTCACAATTTTCCCTGTTGCTGGCTATATGTTGAGGTGATAGAAAGAGTAATGGAGATCCAGATTCAAACCTTAACTCAGTTGCTTCCTGTGCAGGTATGGGAAAGTCATTAAACCTCTCAATGCATTAACTTATTTATCTGTAAAATATGAATAAGAATACATGCACTGCCTGTCTCAGAACTGTACTGAGATTGGTGATTTGAAAACTCTTGTTCTAAAGTAGGTGTTTCCAAGCCATTTCTGTCCCTGTATCTTTTGGCTTTCAGTAAACCGTCTTATACACCTTTGTGCAGTATGATAGGAGATAAATTCTAGGTTTGTCATGAATACATACGTGAGAAAAAATAAAGAGATTAATTGATTTTTTTAATAAAGAAAACTTTGTATGGTAAATTTTTTAGTATAAAATTATTGAACGTTTATTAGAACACAATCAAATAAATTAGTGAGATCCTTGATCCTGTGTTTCCAACCAACAGTTTTATTCTTGGTTTAATTTCTGAGTCATTCACTTACCATGTTCGTTGTCCTTTTTTTTTCCTTCCTCGATTTGGATTTGATTAAAAATAAGGCAGACCCCTTGTTCACAGAAATGAATAGTTATAAGTGGCATTAAAACCTCTGGAAATTTACCAATTGGATAATACAATTATTTACCCATATTTGCCTTACCTACTTAACAAGCTTCTCCTGTCCCCCTGGGGAATATATGCATGTTGGGATTGGGAACGCATATGTTAGAGGAATGTGAATTATTTCCATTCTGTTGTGATTATTTCAATTTGTTTTCCAGATATTATCATTATCTCAGTAAACTTTTTATCAGAGGAGTTTCTTGATCAGTTTGATATGCTTAGGACTATTCATTACAACCAGAAGGAATCTGAGAAACAATTTAGTCAACCTCTTTCATTTTATACATGAAGAAAATGAGAAGTTAACACATTTGGCCAAGGTCATATCAGTAATAAGTGCCAGAGCCAAAATGTAGGCCTTTGCTGAGACCTTTAATTGTACATATTCCTCTCTGTAAATGGTGTTTACATACTCGCTGGTATTTTTTAGGGAAAAAAAAAGAAAATGCTTGATTAAACATCATTGACTGAGACTTTCCCAAAATGATTTTTTTTGAGCCACCCCTTGGCCTCCTACCAGGACTGCCCCAAAATGAATAAATTGGCTAAGACTCTTGGGAAGATAGACTCTTTGGAAGGAGTAACTCACTGTGTAATCCTATAGATTTAAGCTAATAGAACTCTCCCTCCTGAGATCCTTCTTGCCTTTTCCCTCTCCTGAAGAAAAATAACTCCTGGGGGGAAGTAGGCAGCCATATTTCTGCTCCCTACACCTCCTTCCCCACCTTAGGAGCCTGTAAAGGCTGCCTTAGGGCAAAAGCAAATGGGAGCTGTGTGTGTGTTCATCCCCACAGTCAGAATGGAGAGTTCCTGCTTTCATTTTGCCTTTCTTTTTTTCCTTTCCAAACACCAGCCAACCTGAGAGTAGATTTTCCTGGCCTAAGAGATTGACCACAACTTAAGGAGTGGTACAGTACTGAAGCTCCATACTCTCAGCCCGAAAGGGAATTTCATGGATCTTATCTCCTGAACCCCTTCCTCCCACTTAGAGTTAGGGAATTCTAGGTAGTATGGTCCCAGATATATTGTACTAGTTGGAGATTTCTTGGACAGCTTCTTGAGCAACCCCACATTGGAAAGCTCAAAGGTCTGGCCTTCTATCCAGAGAAATGGAATTTCCTGAGCAGGTGTATTTCCTAAAGAGAGAAAAAGATGATATACATTTCTGACTCCACCTCCATTCCATAGCTGGAGGAATAACAGGGACCTAAAATGATGACATGGGGAGGCAAAAGGCTTTGATTTTTCTCCACTATTACAGGAAGTTATTCTGACAGGACATATCTAATGAGAAAGAGGTAGCTACTACAAAGTACGTTCCTCCTCCTGGGGGAGTCCCTTGTACAGGTGACACTAGTGGTCTATGTGATGTACTATGTAGGACCTTGAGGGAGAGAGTAAGTTTCTAAAATGACAAGGTGTCACCTCACTGGTAACCTGAAGTTCAGTGCCCTTCTGAAAGGAGTCCAAACCACAAGGTGATGCTGAGTCGAGGATTCTGGGAGCCTATGGGAAAATGAGACCCACTGGAGAGAGAGAGAAATGAGGTGCTTGTTTGTGAATTCTTTTATGTGCTTTTCACCTTTGTTTATGCATTCCAGAGTCCTTTGTGTTTTGTACATTTTCTGTGATTTAAGATAGAGACTTTATTGTACATAATATCATTTGTCACCTTGAATTCAGGAGGCATGTACAGGAACTGTGAAAGCTGTTATCCACATCATTCAAAGCCCAGACCAGGGGTTTTTAACCTTTTTGTGTCATGGACCCTGTGTCAGTCAGGCAAAGTTTGTAGAACCCTTCTTAGAATGATTTAAAAAATAATTGAATTGAAGATAATTCAATATTTTAATTGAAGCTTAGTGTAACAGTGATTACCCCTGGCCCCCATTGCATGAAGGCCAGATGTGTTACATGTCAACCCTCCTCCAGGATTCTCTGATACCCTTTAGGAGGCTTAGAGATTTGGAGGCCCACTGGGGGCTCCAACCTTTACTTTTGGGGTTCCCCTAACTGGAAAGGTGGTTCTTTTATCCCAATTTCTTAATAGTCAGATTAGATTTGACAAAGGAGTATTTACTTCAAAAATATAATGACAAATATACAAACATACTCCTGAATCCTCTGAGTACAATTCTCATTATGGGGGATTAGGTTCACAGCTTAGTTCCTTAGTAATAAACAGAAAGCTACACCTGGGCTCAAGTACTAAGCACCCTAGCTTCTCAGGGCTTTCCTGCTGAACTGGCTAGCTGTAGCATTTAGTCAGGAATCTTGGCTCCAAGGTCACCATGGCTTGATTGTGAGGCTAGTGAGGATCCTTGTTTGCACCTAGAACTGAGAAGGACAAACTGAGAAGACTGATTTCTCAGGGTCATGGGCCTAAAAGGAGAGGGGGTAAGGTAGCACTTCGCCCTCTCATCAATTCAAGTCATAATGCCCATGCTGTGGGTGAACCTTTACTCTCTCCAAATCCCACACAGGAAAAGACCACATAGAAAAGAGGAGACTGCCCAGTCTGGCAGTTTAAAGATGTAGCCTGCTCTGGCTACACAAGTTAGCAAAGGGGGCTATTCCCACCCATGTGCTAGGGAAATGAAGGATGTCTTCTCCCAGAAGCAAGATGCCTCCATGTTAGGTATCTGGGTATGCATAAAACAAGCCCTTATTGCACTAGTGAAAAATAAAGATGACATTTTTTCACCATCCAAGTTAATGGATCCACAGAAGAATCCTGGGCCTAGACAAAAGTTGTAACTTGAGATTTACCAGAGTAACAACATAACAAAACCACAACGATAAAATGACTAAGAGAACCCTGAAGGTTGGATGTAGCATATGTAAGCTTAGAATTTTGTGGGGCACTAGGCCATGGGTTACTTGGGTTCTTTGGAGAAAAGCACTTCCTGTCTTGTCTCCTTCACAATCTTTCCCAAACTATGTTCAAATTTCCTGCTAGCACTGATTTTTTTTTCCTTTGGACAAATCACAATGATTTGTTTTCTCTAAAGGATTAGACTCCCTGACAGTTAGGGACTCATGCCCATTCTATTAATGAGAGAAGAACAGTGACAAGAAGTTAAGAGGCTTCTTCAAGATCACCCTAACAGACAGTGTGGGTGGGCCTAAGGGCAGACCCAAGACTTATTTAATCCTTCAGTCTGTCCCCCTAGATCTCACCACCTCTCATACCAAACTATGTGACTGACTATGGTCGACCCTGAAACAAGGAGAAAAATCAGACTGCATTTAGGGTTAAAATCTCCTTAGCATAAATTTCACCATAATGAGCTTGTAATCTGAGCATTTGGGGGATGGAACCAAGCAGATGGAGACAGTGGGTTATTTACAGGGATAGCTTCCAAACACCAACAGTTCCTAATAAAAGAACAGTGTTTGTAAGGGGATAAATTCATTTAAGGTTTTTGTCTGACTTTACTTCGGCCTTATTAGTCAGTCAGACAACATTTGAGAAACACTTCAAAGCAAGAACCATCAGCACTCTCGAGGACAACTTTAGTGCCTGTACCAGGCATCTGGGAAAACATTTCTCCTGATACCATGTGGTTGCTTTCCTTTGTCTTGTGTTCCTGCCTTGCTTTACCAACTTGGGGTAAGTTTTCCCCCAACATACCTACAAAAATAGCGGAGCTTTGGATATTACCCTGGCAGAAACCTAGGCAAGGCCTGGGATTTCTGATAGATTCAGAGCTAGAATCTGCCTTCCTGTGGCTTTCCATGGAAAGAGCCTTGGGGTTTTATTAAAGTGGCAGCAATTCCCTTTGCTGATGACGCCGTGGGCCCCTCTCCCCTTCCTGGCTTCTGGGTGTCCTACTTTGAGCAGCAACAAGTGCTTCTGGCTTTAGTTTAGCCTATTGGAAGGGTCCTAGGGGAAAATGAGTCACTTAGAGAAGTAACAAATAAATGGGAGTAGTCTCTATCTCTGCTTAAAATGAAGACAATGGGATATTGGTTTCTGCCAAAGTGAAATTCAAAAGTAGGGTAATTATTAAGACAAAAAAAAGGCAACATGGTATTTTATCAACTTGGATAGTCCAAATCATAGAAGTTAGGGTTGAAAGGGACCATCAACATCATCTATTTTCCCTATTGGCCTCTAATTCAGCAGAATCATCTACCACAAACGGATTCTTCTTGTGAGAAGGAAGCATGAATGACTAAGGGGCTGAGAAAAGATAGGGTAGACTGAATAATTGACATCACACCTCTTAGATAGTCTGACTATCTAAGAGTCAAATTATTAGACAGTTCTAATAGTTTATTGATCTATAAAGTCTCATGGAGCAAATGAAAGAGATGGACACTGAGGAAAACAAGCCAATAATGGCTAGAAGATAATTTGTTACAGTCTCCTAGACTAGGCAGGAAATTTCAACTTTTGTAATCAGGAGAATTAGACTAATGTGTCCTTATTAATTTCATGTTGTTCCCTAAGCCTCAATAAATATTTATTCCTGTAAAAGGTGGGAACTAGAATAGATGATCACAGATGTTCCTTTCGGCTTGAAATTATATGATCTCTAACTTTGATGGCACTATATATAGGAGAAATATGGAGATATTCAAGACAAGGAAAATAATCCCTACACAGCATTTAAATATTTTTATCCTCCCTCCCTCTCTCCTTCCTTCCCTTTTTCTTTTTTCCTTCTCCCTCCTTGTTTTCATTTATTCCTCCCTCCTTTACTTCCTTCATTACCTTTCTTCCTCCCTCCTTCCTGCTCTCCCTCACTTCCTTCCTTACTAAAGTCAGTGTATATATATAACTTTTGTTCTCTGATTTCATTCTGCAAAATATTTACCATCATATTTCTCACCCAATTGGCCAAAGAGCAGAATTCCTGATAATGGACTTTCCCAGAACAAGAGATGACAGTAGTTGGAACAATGATAAAATTACTGTATCAGTAATGACAATTACTTGCACAATCCAAGAGGATTTCATATACCTTGTTCCTGAATCCCCATCTGCTGTGTAGAAGAGGAGAGGGGATCTTTATCATTAGCTAGTTATCATCCTGGGTTCAAATTCTGCCTGTGACATGAACTTCTTGTGTGATCTGGCCAAATCTCTTAACGTTTCATGCTTTAAAAAACTCTAAAACTATAAGGCATTTACCTGAATTGGTACAGGGAGTTTCCTCATTTGGGATGTCTCAATGAAATTGCATATGTTTATCTTTATGTAAATGTATTATGTATATGTATGTGTACATGTACATACATATGTATGTATACATACACGTGTATGATAGTTCTTTGCCACCCTTAAAACTCTATACAAATGTTATTTCTATTACTATTACTACTACTACTACAACTATGACTGTGACTACTACTGCTGCTACTGCTACTACTTCTTACTATCGCTGCCATGTACCAAGAAGCAGTGCCATAGAGGATATGGAATAGTCAACAAAGTGCTGAGTTTGGAGTTAAGAAGTTCTGGGTCCAAACACTGCTTATGATACTTCCTAGCTGTGTGACCTTGGACAAGTCACTTAACCCTTATGTATTTCAGGCAACTCTTTAGCACTTAGACATTGTCAGAGATAGGTTGTGGATTATACCAATGACATGATAGTCACTGTTCAGGCTTCCTCCAGCAGGTACTGGCTCTTATTCATCTGTGCTTCCCTTATCACCCAGCCCAGTGCACTTTGTATAATAAGTGCTCAGTAAAATGTGTTGAATAAAAGAACTCAAAGATTCTCAAGAAAGGAAATTTTATAAATGTGCATTCCTGTTAAACCTCATTCTTAAAGATAGCTGTGCCCTAGTGGAAATGCTTAGAACTTGGAGTTAAAAAAATGCCTACTAGCTACATGACCTTGAGCAGTGTCTTAACCTCTAGGAGTTTCAGTATTTCCATCTGTAAGATGAGGAGCATAATACTATTTACCTTACAGGGCTGTGAGAAAGCGCTTTGTTAGAATATTAAAGTACTGCAAAAATGTGAGTTGATCTTATGGCTCTGGTATCTTTATAGCATTTTCACATCCATTTTCTCATCTGATATTTGTAACAGGGAGATAGTATTGTCCCTAATTTACAGGTGAGGAAACTGAGGCCCAGAGAGATTGTTATTTCTCTATAGTTGGCACATAGTGAAGGACTGAGAGGGGGAAAGATGCCCATCACTCAACCAGTCCCATGCTGATTCCACCCCATCATCTTGCCTCTTTGAGTGAAATCATTTTTCCCTCTCTTCATGTTGCATAGGGTGGCAAGCCTCAACACCTGTAGTGCACACTCAATATGGGAAAGTCCAAGGCAAATATACAAGCCTAAAAGGATTTAATAAACCTGTCCAGGTTTTTCTGGGTGTCCCGTTTGCCAAGGCTCCTCTTGGACCTTTGAGATTCTCTCCACCCCAGCCTCCTGAGCCCTGGGACTACATGAAGATCACCACTACGTACCCACCCATGTAAGCCATCTGTCTTCAGCTTCTTCTTGGGATGAGAAAGATTAAGTTGGAGGCAATCATAGAGAATTTTCTTTGTTCTTATTCTTTGGTTTTTCACATCATTTCAGAACCTCAGAGCATTTCAAAATCTCTTGCATTGCCTCCAGGGAAATGTTTCTGTTCCTTCCCCTTCCCAGCTAAATAGATAGATGGATGATAGATAGATAGATAGATAGATAGATAGATAGATAGATAGATAGATAGACAGAAGATTCATAGAACACTCATTATGTATCAGACACTGTAATACTCACTGGGGATAGAAATACAAAAACACAGGACAGACTCTTTCCTCAGTGAAGATATCACATGAAGGGAAGCTGGAATCTGAAATGGGGATACATGCTAGGTAGGGCTGGGCAGTGAAGTGGAGACCTAGCTTTAGACAAGGTAAGGGTAAAGCTCCCACGTTAGTACAAATGATGGTTTGAAGAGTGGAATCCAAGGATTTTGTAGGAAGGAGGCAGGGATGATGGCCCGGGCAAAGGCAATGTGGTTTGGAGCTGCTGTTTGCAAAGGGAGGTGGAGGCCTGGTTCCAGGCAAGATAAGGAAGAAACTTACCCTTCTAGGACAAAAGTGGCTCCTTTATATTAAATACTGTTAGAGGTTGGAAGGTTTGTGGGAGGGGAACCTATGAAGGATTCCCAGTGGATTGTTTCCCAAGCTGCAAAGTGATTCACCTACCCTAAAAACCCCAGCTAAGCTGAATTGCCATAGCTCTAACCTGGACAGATATTGCTGGTACTCCTTGTAACCATCTAGCTTGTTTGCTTTATTACATCCAGTCTCTGAGAACACATTGTCTGGAAAGATCCAAATACACTTACCCTCCATTCTTCATTAATGTCAAGATATTCTTGAATCATGAAACCATGATTCACTTGCCACTGATGGGTCTGGTGGTTTTTAAAATAATGGTGTTAGTGAAAGAACATTTGGATGCAAATCAGGACTTCAGCTTAGACTCTGCCATTTAACAACTGTGTGACCATGAAGCTGTCATTTATCCTCTAAGTTTCCTCACTTATGCAATGGGGACAATGATGGCTCCTCTAGTTACCTCATAGGCTTAGGTGAAATGAGGCATTGATGTCTTGCCAAATGCTTCCATCTGGCTATAGTCTGGCGGACCCTAGAGGCACCACAATGTTTCACAGTCTGATTTCTACAGATCCTCTTTTTTACTATAACCCTGTTCCTCTAAATTCACTAAGTATTTATCCATGGAAATCATTGATTGGGAAACCAGAGATGGAAGAGATCTTGGGAATCATTTAGTTCCAAACTCCTCATTTTTCAGAGGAGAAGACTAGGGCCTAGAACAGGGAAATGACATACACTGGGATACACAAAAATTTCATGTCTCACTCCATAAATATAAAGAAAAACTAATTTGAATCTTTTGTTAAGCCTTCACTGGAAAAGTGGGAAATGAAGAAGAGTGGAAGGAAAATCTGAGGACCTGAGATGGACCCCTGGCTCTGTTATCCTTTGTGAGACCTTAAGCAACCACATTTCCTCACTATGCCTTGGTTGCCTCATCTCTAAAATGACAGTGTTTAACTAGATGATATCTAATGACCCTTCTGGTTCCAAAGTCTAAGATATAAAATCTGCAGTCCTGTGACCCCAAGTTATGTTTCCCTAACAGCCATTGAAAAGAAATGATCTTATGTTTCATCACACAGGTGCACCCAGGACCCAGTTGGGGGACAGTTATTCTCTGACCTTTTTACCAACCGGAATGAAAAAGTCTTCTTGAAAATGTCTGAAGACTGTTTATACCTAAACATTTACAGTCCAGTTGATCTGACAAAGGAGATGAAGTTGCCTGTAAGAATACTCAGGTTAGGGTTGGTCAAAGATTTGGATTCTGTGGTTATGGTTACTTCTTGCATCTATGGCAGGGAAGAAATGGAAGAATCAGTATGTTGAGATCTTTAGTTCTCCCTTGGTCCAGTTTGTGTGACCTGAGTAAAAGTAATTTCACTTAGCTGGACCTCAATTTTCCTTGACTATGGATTTCAGTAAGATGGGACACCCACTGTGATACATGATGGAACACAATAGTAATACCTTAAATTTTCAAAGAACTTTCATATACATCCTTTTATTCAATCCTCAGTCTACATTTGACCATTAGAGATAAATGTTGTCCTTATTTTTTTAAAAAAAGGAGGATTAAGAAGTCTGACTAATAGACTTTCCCAAAGTCACAAAACTGGTTAGTGGCAGAGTTGGAACTATCACAGTATCATAGAATCTCAGAAGTGGAAGGGTTCTAACCAAATTGTGCCATGTTCTGCCCCTTAGAACCAAATTTAAAAAAAAATCTAATCCTTCTTCCACATGACAGACTTTGAAAGACTAGAAGATACCATTTATGCCCCCTGCCTACTTCTTTTTTTCTTTGTACTGAAGACCCCCAGTTCCTTCAACCAGCCCTCAAACCCTGGATACTTAACTCTCAGTTCACAGCTCTTCTACTAGACTAGGAAAAGCAGTGATATACATACCTACATACATATACATATATAGGTGTGTATATACATATACATATATTTCATACAATGAAAAGATCAAATCAGAGTTAGCTCTTAATTATCTGCAGCAAATCAAAGGAGAATAGCAACATGAACGATCCAATTTAGTTTTTCACATTGTCTTTGCCTTTTTTTTTCTCTGATTGTTTTGAAGGCAGTTTACCTTTCTAACTCTGTTTTCCTCTGGAAGTTCTGAGAATGGCTTAGCATTCCCTGCACACATTGGGATAGGAGTAGTTACAGAAACACATGGGAAACTCTTGGCTGTGACTCTAATATTGACTGGTTTTCTGTGACCAATTCCTCCCTTCTCCAGGTGATGGTATGGATACATGGAGGAGGTTTGTTGACAGGTGCTGCATCAACTTATGATGGGCTGGCTCTCTCAACTCTTGAAAATGTTGTTGTTGTGACCATTCAGTACTGCCTGGGAATTTTTGGATTCTATAGGTAAGATCTAGAGTCCAGGAACTCAATGGATACTGTGGGCACACCCAGCAGTGTGGCCCTGACTTCAAGCTTATGACAATGACTCTCCAGCAGTCCTCAAAGAATAAATGAATGTAGTCAACTTTGCTTAGCAGAGTATATTTCTACTTTTTCCTTTTTATCTCTTAGAACTTGGCCTATGTATGTATGGGCCTGATGGGTTTCTTTTATGATGTCTTCTTCTTGAGATCAGGCACTATGGCATATGGTATTATATGTATGCTCCTGTATTGTAAATGTTACTGCCATCCTGTTATATAAGTTATATAAGGTTAGGGATGTCATTTGGTGTCAGCCCAATTCAACAAATATGTATTGAACCAAGGTTAATTCATCTGGTGAATTTTTATTGAATACCTTCTATGCTCAAGCTATGTGATTCTTAATTGAATACTTGAAATAAACATTTATTAAATATCTCCTGGGTTCTAGATGTTGGGATTTCAAAGATAGATGTGATACAACCATTTTTAAAGGGGTTTATGATTAAAGAGGATGAGGAGAATAAGAAGTGCATCAATAACTACGCTACATGAGAGTAAGCTAAGTGCAAAGAAGAAATTCAGGTAAAGGGCTTTGAGAAATCTAAAGTGAGAGAGATCACTTTAAACTGGGTGGACAGAATGCCAGAGAAGGCACAGTAGAGGAGATGGAACCTAAATTGGGCCTTTAAGGAAGGGAGGGATGTTAATAGATATATATGGGGGTGAGGAGATCATTCTAGGCATGAGAGATGTCATGAGTAAAGGCATAGAGACGTAAGAAGGCAGAATGGTGCATGCAGAAGGGTAATCTGAGATAAAGCTGCACAGATAGTTTGAGGTCAGCTTATGGACACCTTTGAATGCCAAGTTCAGGGTTTTATGTGGTAAGCAATAGGGAGTCCTTAAAAGTTTTTGATAAGAGAAGTAGTATAATCTCAGTGAATCATTAGACAGTTGTGTGGAACATGGCATAGATAGATGATTGACTGGAAGGCAAGTGGACTTAGTATTTCCACAGCTAGATGACACAGTGGATAGAATGCTAGACTTGGAGTCAGGAATGCCTGAGTACAAATCCAGTTTCAGATATTCCTATTTATGTGATCCTAGGCAAGTCACTCCCTACCCTAGCTGTTAGTGACCTAGAGCAAAATCCTTTTCACCTGATGTTGGTTATAATTCTGGACATGAGCAGGTCAGGGCATAGGTAGAGCTAAAAAGAAGATGGCACCAAAGACATCAGGTTTTTTTTCTGGTCTCTCTTAGAAGATCTACTCATGGATATTGATGAAACTCTTCAGGGGTCAGGTGAGGTATAGAATTATCAGAGAAAATTAGAAATATTATCCTTGCCCTCAGGGAGATTGCATCTAATAAGGAAACAAGACTCACAAATGAGAAACAAAAATAACAAAGTGTGGGGACTGACCTGAGTTCACTGGAAGTGGGAAGCTCAGCCTGATTCCCTATTTTCTAAATAACCTCTTATTCCCACCCTGATCGCACTGGCCTATTTCTTGATTCGAGGTTTTCTTGAGTTTGCCTCACCTCCCTTCTACTCCTTTCTAGTGACCATCCTCACATATCTGTCTTCTCTTGCAGCACTGGTGATGAGCATGCTAAGGGAAACTGGGGTTACTTAGATCAAGTGGCTGCACTCCATTGGATCCAGAAGAACATTGCTAGCTTTGGAGGAGATCCAGGCTTAGTGACCATCTTTGGCGAGTCAGCAGGAGGCGGGTGTGTTTCAGCACTGGTGAGTTTTCAGGAGGGGTCAGCCATACTTTGATTCAGGAGGGTTTAGCCAATGTCTGTTGGTATAGAATGGTAGCCCCAGCTGTTAGCAGACGTTGTTGGTATCAACAGTTGCTTTGGCTCTTCCAGGAGTTCCCATCCAGGAGTTCCCAAGAATCTATTCATGTTTCTCAGAACTGACTTTCTCACTTAGAGAACAAACCTAGAACCAGGGAGTGAAGTATCTAAGACTTGAAGGGGGACCTGGCCATGTCCTACTGAGGAAAGCTAATTGTAACAGTTTTTGTGGGTGGTATGCATATATTTTGCAAAATACTGTTTCTCTTATAATAATGATTCTTTTTCTTATAGAGCTTCAAAAGAACTTTTCCCACAGCAATTTCATGAGATAGGTAATGCAACTATAATTGTTCTCATTTCACAGATGAGGAAACAGGTTCATTGATGAGCTGTGTCCTGCCTAAGGTCACACAGTTAGGGTATGAGAGAGCTGGGAATCAAACTCATGTCCTGACTCTATATCCAGAGCTTAACTCCTGTTGTATACCCAAAGTGGCTCAGACATGTCAGATCATGATAAATAATTCAATGTCTCTCTATGGTAGCCCAAATAGATTGTAGGAAGTTAGAATGAGAACAATTTTATCTAAGCTTTGTTGAGAGCATTAAGAGGCATAGAATGAAATGTGATGGTAGTACAGCTTTTTAAGAACTTTTCAATGAACTCATTTTCTTAGAGAAAGGAAACTATTCTCAATCCTGCCAAACACTTCTTGCTCATTTCCTTCTCACATAGGGTCAGCCTTGAAAACTTGGGTAGAGGGGAAGGGGTGATTTTTGGCACCTACCTCCTCCAGCTTCATTTACCTCTCTTCCTTCTTCCTCTCTTCATTTCCTTCTTTCTTTTTCTTTATTCATTTATTTAACATTTTAAAATGTCTGCTTCCTGTAGAATGTTGTATTAGTTACTATGGAAAACACAAAGTTAAGATAAAGAATGTTCGCTATTCTGATACAGTAGAGGTAAAAACCACAAGCAGTTACCTATAGTACACAATGACATGATAAAAGAATAAATACTGGTTAGGCTGTGGAGAGCAAGTACACTAATTCACTTATAGCTGGTGGAATTGAAATCTTATAAAATTTGTTTGGAGGATAATTTGAAAATATACCATAAAATTATAAAAAGTAATCATACATGTATTTTTAACCCAATTATTCCTTTGTTGAAAACATACCATGAAAGTATTATGAAAAAGAAATGGAAGAAATCTTCATTCAAAGACTTTTCATCACATGGTCCTGTCTTTTTCACCTCACCTGCTCTGTTTCTGAGCCTCTCCACTCAACAGAAATATAACAACATCAAATGTAATTAAAAATAAAACAAAACAAAAACTGGGAACAACCAAAATTTTTAAAAATAAGAGAATAAAGAAAAATTCCACTCAAAATGACTTTAGATACTATAAAATACTTTGGATTCTACTTGCCAAGACACTCAGGGTACATATAGGAACACAATTACAAATCACTTTCATATAAATAAAGACAGATCTAAACAATTATAGAAATGTTAATGGTTCATGGGTTGATCAAGCCATATAATAAAATGATAATTCTAATTAAAGTATTTTACTTATTTAGTTCCATATTAAACTACCAAAAGATTATTTTATAGGACTAAAAAAAATGACAAAACTCATATGGAAGAGCAAAAGGTCAAGAATCTCAAGGGAATTAATGAAAAAAAGTGAAGGAAGGAGTATCAGATTTGAAATTAGACAACAAAGTGATAATCATCAAAACAGTCTGGTACTAGATAAAACAGAATGGTTGATCAGTGAAATAAATTAAGGACATAATATACAGAAGTGAATAACCATAGTAATCTAGTGTTTGATAGTGTTAAATAAAACCAATGTAGCCAAGAACAGAGGGAAAGCAGAAAATTAAGGAAAAATTTCCATAGACATTCTTTCAGATAAAAGTTTCATTTCTCTAATTTATAAAGAACTTTGTTCAATTTATAAGTATACAAATCATTTCCCAATTGATAAATAGCCAAAGGTTATAAACAGTTTTCCAATGAAGATATCAAAGCTGTATATAGTCATATGAAAGAATGTTCTAAATTATTATTTATTAGAGAAATGCAAATTAAAACAACTTTGAGATATAATCTTACACCTATCAGATTGGCTAAAATGATGGATACTGTTCAATAGGAGAATGATTAAACAAATTGTGGTATACAGTTTTAATATAATACTACTGTGCTACAAGAAATGATAAGCTGGTTGATTTTAGAAAAAAAACATGGAAAGACATACATGAAATGAGTAGTACTAAGAGAACATTGTACATAGTAAGAGAAATGTTGTCCTAAGAATTACTTTGAATAGCTAATTCATCTTGGGTATTATAAATACTCAGGACAACTACAAAGGACCTATGAAAGAAGATACTATAGACCTCCAGAGAAAGAAATGATAAATAGAAGCATGTAAAGTATTGTTTTATGCATATGTATATATGTATGTACTTGCATGTGTGTGTATATACCTATAAATCTATTTGTGTTTAATTGTAGCCTTCTCTAGGGTGGGGTGGGGAAGGATGGAGAAACAAAATGTACACAGCAGAGAACAACAGAAAACTTAGAAGGAACCACCGAAAAGTAGGGTAGTTTTGAAAACAACATGTAGTATTTATTACACAGTTTTTTTTAAAGTAAACATTATGAAATGGAAATTCATGGTTTTTATTGAATCCTGTCTTTATGTTCTGCTGTGTACGTGTAAATGTTCTTTGTTTTCTCTTTTTGTATTTCTGTTCAAAATGAATAAAAATAAAAAAAAACAATTCAATTAATATGTTAATAATTAACAAGTTCAGCTTTTTGTGTTTATCAACAATCTTTTGAATAAAACTTTTAATATAAATAAAATGCATTAGAGATAAAGAACAAAGTGTTCTTTGAGATCTGAAAGTGAAGGTTGTCACTTATCAAGAATATTAAGGAAGAGTTTATGGCATTTGGAAAATTAGAAAAAAATTAAAGGAGCAAATTCTTTTTCTTCTCTCCTTTTCTTTTCTCCCTACTTTTGGCCTCCTATTTTTGTCTTTACTTCATCTTGTTTTTTTCCTTGACTATCTCCTTCTTTCTCTAGTCTCTTGTCTTTTTCTCTCCCTTTCTGGTTTCGATCTAGAATGGTTATAGGGAGAGGCTGTTAAAGGCTTTTATAGCAGGGCATGAATAAAGACAGACTTTCTAGTTCCTTTTCACCAGCAGGTGCCCTACTGAGAATTATCTGAGTAATACAGCAAAAGGGGGACTCTTCTGAAACAATTGTCTTTATTGATCTCAGGAGTCATGATCCTTGACTGACATAGCAATTTAGTCAGACCTTTCATGTTTTACTACAATTTTTAATCCTTGCAATCATTTTGTAGCAATGAACACTGCCAGTTGGCGCCAGATGAGTACAGAACCAGGCTTATAGCAGCCACAATTTCAAGGCCTCTTGGAAGGCTCCCTTGTCCAAAAAGGCATCCATTGGCTTCTGATACTCTAATAGAGCTTCACTGCATTTAAGCTTTGTTCACACTTAACACCTAAGTTACTTTAGGAGTAGCAGTCTATTAAATTTTAGTAATCATCTACACTTTTATGTGAACAGCTTTCCTTAGGAGTGGGTTTTTTATAGGGGTAAGAATAGGAAAAAAAAGGAGGGAGGATATTGAATGAGGATTTGAGAGGAATGTTGAAAGGGAGTCTGATATTGCTGAAAGAAAATATCAGCTCACTTCAGTTTTTCCTAGGATTAAAAAAAAAGCAACTAGCCCCGTCACATATTCCTGACTCATATCACTCATACTTTTGCTACTTGTTTAATTTTTCTGAGGTTCTTCCTGGAAAAAAACAAAACAAAAGAAAACTGAATTCTAGATTAGACGGTCAACCTCGGTAATATCTGACCACAAAAGAGAAATGAATAAACAAACAAAAAGTCTTTTAAATTCATTTATTCTTATCCCATAATAGTGGACTGGTTATCTATTAGCATTTATTAAGGCTAAATCATCATACCCTGACCCATCCAACTAGTTGGCAAGGATGGTGTGTTTAACTAGCCAATAGGACAAGTTTCATAAAATGGACCTGAGAGGAGTAACATGAATCATAGGAGAAATTATCTTCTGAAGATAAGTTGAGGTGGAAGGAAAGACTTTGGGGATAAAAAGCCCAGGTGGTGTTTGGAGAGACTCTAGGACTTTTATTTGTTTTTTTTGTTCAAAAAGCATTTATAAAGTACACACTAGGCAAAAGGCAATGTGCAGAGAACTTAAGATTTAAGGACAAAAAGAAAAAGTCATTGTTCACAAGGAGCTCTCATGGGGGCAACAACATATACATGGATAAGTCAGAGGTTTTTCTGGGCATGTTGCAGGTTGGGGAGGAACTCACCTAGCAGAGCAAGTGTAACAGTAGTTAGCTTACTACTTTAACTAATTGTTCTTAATAGTTAGGTACTAAGCTCAATTATTTTATGCTGTGGACAGAATATCCATTGTCATGTTCTCTAAGTTTTGATGCATTAAGGAAAAGTCACAGTTGCATCAATTCAGTCATGGCTCTGCTTTGAAATCATCAGTTTAATTCCCCTCTGTTCCTCTTTCAGATTGTATCTCCTTTGACCAAGAATCTCTTCCACCGGGCTATTTCCCAGAATGGAGTTGTCCTGATGGAATCTCTGTTCACTTCTAACATCAAACCAATAACTGACGTAGGCTTCTTGCATTTTTGTGATGCCATATACTGGGATATATTAATAGAATTACAAGATTTAGAACTAAAAGAGACATCAGAAGTTTTCTAGTCTAGCTTTTTCATTTTACAGAAGAGACAGCTAAGAGATATAACTCATCCAAAGTCACACAGGTATTAAGAGGGCAGAGCTGGGATTTGAACCAAGTCCTTTGACTTCTTATCTACTGTTATGCTGCCCTGTTGGATCACACTTTTAAGAATACATTAGTTTTTTTTTTTTTTGCTATCTCTTTTTTGATTACATTGATCACTGATCATTCTCCCCTACATAGATAGACAGAAATTGCTCCTGGAATAGAGAAATGATAGAGATAGATTCATAGATATTAATTGACAGGTAGAGATAATAGCAAAAACTAGATAAAGCTAAGGGTTTTTTTTTGTTTTTTGGGGTTTTTTTGGCAGAAAATTACAATCCTGACTGGTTGCAAAATAACTACTTCAGCCAGCATGGTTCACTGTATTCGGCAGAAAACGGAGGAAGAGATCCTGAACACAACTCTGAAGATGGTAGGTGACATTAGAGTTCTTACCCACTACCCTTTTAGCATGTCTCATTGTACATTGTGACTTTACATTCTTCAATTCCCCCAGGCAGCATAGATGGCCTCCCATGTTTGAGAAACTATGACCTTCAGAGTTGCAGATAGCCACTCTTTTAAGAATGTACCTTGGCTCAGATTCTTATAATCTACCCAATAGCTCACTAATGTTCAGATTCCTTAAAAGTCTGGCCAATATGGAGGATGTTCCAATAAACCTTGCCTTTGGCTGAAAGAAGGCTTGAATCAAATTCTTTCAGGGAGGACCTGCATGTTGTGATTTCAGGGTCCCAGCACCCCTAAACCTCTAAACTCCAACATTTTGGTGCCCTGTATGTGGAAACTACCTAGCCCCAAGTTCTTCTCCAGCCAAGACTGGAAGGTATGTAAACCTATCTCCCTTCTTTCTTGCCCTGAAGTTGGGGTCACTCTTCAAGCACCTAGGGAAAGGCTCGGAGGTGCTTTTTGGGCAGACAGTTATGAAGCTGTCTTGCATTCAGGCTGTTTCTCTCAGGCTCTTGGTCCACTGGTTCGGTTCGGGGGCATGGACCTGAGTACACCTTCCACAGCATAGAGGACAAAGGTGGACAATAGGACATTCCTATCAAATATTTTTACATTGGTGATGTCATAAGGAAGAATTAGAACCAATAGGAGGAACTGCCAGAAAGAGAAAATAAAGCACAATGGAAGAAAAAGGAATAGCAAATAGTATGCTTTGATCTGCATTCAAACTCCATAGTTCTTTCTCCGGATATGGATAGCATTTTCCATCATGAGACTTTTGGAGATGTCTTAGATTCTTGCATTGCTGAGAAGGGCTAAGTCTATCAATGCTAGTCATTGCACAGTGTGGCTGTTACTGTGTACAATGTTCTCTTGTTTCTGCTCACTTCACTGAGCATCAGTCCATACAAGTCTTTCCAGGTTTTTCTGAAGTCTGCCTGCTCATCATTTCTTATAGCACAATAGTATTCCATTACATTTATATACCACAATTTGTTCAGCCATTCCCCAATTGATTGGCATCCTCTCAATTTCCAATTCTTGGATACCACAAAAAGAGCTACTATAAATATTTTTGTACATTTTGGTCCTTTTCCCATTTTTATGATTTTTTTGGGATACAGACCTAGAAGTGCTATTGCTGGGTCAAAGGGTATGCATATTTTTATAGCCCTTTGGGGATAGTTTCAAATTGCTCTCCAAAATGGCTGGATCACTTCATAACTCCACCAATAATGCATTAGTGTTCCAATTTTCTCAAATCTTCTCCAACATTTATCATTTTCCTGTTTTGTCATGTTGGCCAATCTGATGGGTGTGATATGGTACCTCAGAGTTGTTTTGATTTGCATTTCTCTAACCACTAGTGATTTAGAGCATTTTTTTTTCATGTGACTATAGATGGCTTTAATTTCTTCATCTGAGAACTGCCTGTTCATATCCTTTGACCATTTATCAATTGGGGAATGACATGTATTTGTGTATTCTTATAAATTTGACTTAGTTCTCTATATATTTTAGAAATGAGGCCCTTATCAGAAACACTGGTTGCAAAAATTATTTCCCAGTTTTCTACTTCCCTCCTAATCTTGGATGCATTGGCTTTGTTTGTGCAAAAACTTTTCAATTTAATGTAATCAAAATTATCTATTTTGCATTTTGTAATGTTTTCTATTTCCTGTTTGGTCATGAATTCTTCTGTTCTCCATAAATCCAACAGGTAAACTATTCCTTGGTCTCCCAGTTTGCTTATAGTATAAGCCTTTGTATCTAAATCATGAACCCATTTTGACTTTATTTTGGTATACGGTGTGAGATTTTGGTCTATGCCTCATTTGTGCCATGTTCTTTTCCAGTTTTCCCCAGTAGTTTGTGTCAAATTAAAGTTGTAGTTTTAACTGTTAATGTTGAGATGTTGATTATCTGTGTAAAGTAATTTGGAAATGCATTTAACAAAACTGAAGTCACCTGATTGGTAATAAGCTTGTTTTAAGTTTCAAATTGGTGAACTTTTTTTTATCAGTTATGTCAAGCAATTTTTCATAATTTGGTTATCACTAAAATAATTTATCTTTTGTTGGTTATTGTTTTATGTATAAACTTGCCAAAAAGCTTGTTTGGGTTTTGTCTTACTGAGAACTTGCAAATATATAGAAATATGTCTAACGATTGGCTTTTTACACCAGGACAAATTTAAATTTGAGATGTAAATCTTGGAAAATTTTTTCCTAAACTGTGATTAGTGAAACTTGCTGTTTGAGGCAAAAGC